CATGCGGCACAAGACACATCACACATGACACAGGACACATCACACCTTGTTGCACAAGAAACGAAAAGACACCATGTCGCAGCAATGGAAGAAAAGAGCTCGGCATTTCTCCCACCCATCCTCCACTGCAGTGTTGCCCTCCATTCACCCCTGCATTCACTCCTCTTAATCATCATTTCACTCCCTTTCCCTGCCTTCCACCTCCCTGCGTTCAATGCTAAACCCGAAACCCTAAACCTTCCCCTCTCTGCCCTCTGCCCACCCTCGCCATGCTCCAGGAATCTCAACCGCAACAATCTCTCAGGCTCCATTCCAGAGGCTATCAGCAGCCTCAAGCAGCTGCAGGAGTTGTGAGTGGTGATGGGGTAGGCATGCAAGGTGCTGTGGGATGATCCGGTGTGGTAGCCTGATAGGTCCCCTCAATGAGCGAGTGAGTGGGAGAGTGAGAGGCCGCGAGAGAGGGTGGGCGAGTCAGTGACATGGTGAAGGTGTGAGTGAGTGAGTGGGTGAGGGGGTGAGAGGGTGAGTGACTGAGGGAATTTGTGCTTGAGAAAATGAGTGGATGCATCCCTATGGGCTAGTGGCCTGCCCGTCTGTGCCATGCCATGCCATGCCATGCCATCCCATCCCATCCCATCCCATCCCATCCCATCCCATCCCATCCCATGCCATGCCATGCCATGCCATGCCATGGCAGGGAGCTGCACAGCAACAGGTTGAGTGGCACCATTCCCACCTGGATTACCCACCTCACCGCGCTCACCATCCTGTGCGCCCATTCTCCCTGCCCTCCAACCCCCCTCTCCATCCCTTCTTTCTGCCTGCCTCTCTCTGCCAAGCATTGGGGGTTTGAGAGGGTGAGTAGGATGTGAGTAGGATGAGGGTCGGAATCAGAGGGAGGGAGAGGGAGGGAGAGGAGACGAAGGCATTAAATATGAGAGTACGGAGCACTTTGTGTTGACCTCAATTTCGTCCGCTGGTGCGTGTGTGTGTTTCTCAAGGCACACACTACTCCTCCTCTCTTCTTCCCTTCTCCTCCACTTCCCCTCTTTCCCTCTTCATCTCTTCTTGTCACCTCATCACCTCTTCTTCTCTCCTTCCCTCCATGTCCATCCATCCACCCACCTGTCTTCAGGGGCCTCAGCGAGAATCGCCTTGCAGGGACGATACCTGCTGCAATCACCACGCTCACTAATCTCGAATACCTGTCAGTGTTACCGCCTCGGGCGTCCCCACATCTAAGTGTCATCCTTAAATGGTGGAGTGTGTGACTATACTTACAAGCAACCTGGTTGTGTTGCCTGCTGATGAATCAACTCTAAAGGCATGTCTGTCGAGTCACCAGCTGCAGTCACCAGCTACAGTCACCCCATGCACTCATCTCCATTAACTGTCAGCACCACTGCTGCTCATTGCTTCTTCTCTTCTTCTCTCTGAAACGCCACACTTACTGCTTGCAGCACCTCGTTTTCTGTGACTCGCACGTCTCCCCCTTTCTACTTGCTGCAGCACCTCGATTTCTGCGACTCGCACGCCCCCTCCTTTCAGCCACCCACACCTCTCTCCCTTTCAGCCACCCACAACAGTCAGCACTACTGCTACCCATCTTTTCTTCCCTGTCAAAGACCACCTTCACTGCCTGTACTAGCCTGTTTTCTGCGACTCGCACCTCTCTCCCTTTCTGCTTGCTGAAGGCTGCGTCTGGACTTGAAGACTGCCAACCTCGTCAGCCACTCCTCTGCCTTCCCACCTCTTCCCACGTCTTCCCACCTCTTCTCGCCTCACAGTAGCCTTGACGACAACCAGATTACGGGAGAGCTGCCCTCTTTCTACCACATGGCCCGTCTCGCCTCGAAATACGGGCTGTCTGCAGACCACAACTACCTCACAGCCACAGCAGACGCTGTCCCTTTCGACGCCACCGGCCTAGACAATCCTGCAGACTACCACAGCTTGTGTCTGTTCAGCCGCAACTGCCTTGCAAACGACTCAGTCGTCTGCAGCTCTGATCAGAGGCAGAGGCGAACCAGCGAGTGCCGGGCGTTCTGTGGGGCGCAGCCGCTCACCCCGCCGTGCAGCGGCCATGGCGTGTGCTCCTTCGAGCCTGATCATTCCGAGCTCCCCTCTATTGAACCCGAGGGCCAGTGCGTCTGTGATGAGGGGTACACGCCAGGGCCGAAGGCTGGCACGTGCGTCCCTCACGGTATGCCTGCTGCTGCTGCTAATGCCCTCGCTGGCTGATGCATGCTTTCCTATTCTGATGAATCGAAACCTGTTACCACATTGCTCAAAGGCCGTCTGTCTATGGAGGGCCAGTAAACTCACAACCTCCCATGCCGCACTGCCTGTAGAGCCCATCCGCACTGCTTGTATGTATCCCATCCGTTTCGTGGAAATAACTCTCTATTTCCCCAACCCTGTCCCTGAGCCACCAGGCACTGCAGTCGTTGAGATGGCTCTGTCTGCTCTCCACACGCCTCAAACTGTGCTTTTGAGAAGTCTGAAAAAAATCACTTTCTACACCCAACCCACCCTCTGAGCCACCAGGCACAGCAGTCATGGAGATGGCTCTGTCTGCTCTCCACGTGCCTCAAAACCCGCTGCTGCTGCTGCTGCTGCTTCCACTGGCGGTGCTGCTGCTGCTGGCCTTCAAACTGCCGCAGTTGCTGAGGCGCCTCAAGAATCGACCCCCCACACGCTACTTCTTTTCAAAGAGAGCCCTTGCTGCCCGGCAAGCTGCCATGGGTGTGGAGATCACTTGCTAGTGCAGGCCTGCCGGTTCACTGCCATACAGGAATGCTTTACGGTATTAGTTTTTGGAGAAATACTGTACCTGCCACACAGATGGTTTCTTGCAAATGTAGAATGCTTTGTGATTTATTTCAGACTTAGAGCGTATTCCTACGGGGCCACCTCGTATCAAGAATGGTCCTCCTGCCTGTAAATTGACAACCTCGCCAAAACCTCGTATCAGGAAAAGTTGCCGGTTAACCCACATGTGCGACTCCAATCAAAAGCTGATGTGGCATGTTGCGACCCAGCATGAACAAGCGCCCCGACGAACATAAAAAAGTGCCACGAGAGCATAGGGTGGGAATGGCGTACGAGTCGCTATGCATCTGACAAGGGAGGTGACACGAAAAGTTTGCACACTCTGCACGTTCGCGCGCGGCGCACGACTGCCACCGTGTGCAGTTTCGCATGAATGTTTGTCGGGAAGTGATCATATTGGGGCCCCAGAGCTCTAGAAAAGTTGCCGACTTGGGGCCTCGTGTGTCGCAAGGAGTCGAACCTGGGCCGGGCCTGTGCCCAACGAAATTCGAGCCTCATCCACTCGCTCCGTCAGACCTGACCACACAGGGTGATGATTTCTTCCTTGACGACATCGAAAAAATTGACTCGACATTTGAAAAATGACGATTTTTTTCCTCGTGCGTCATGCCTTCGAAGGGGCCTCAGCCCTAAACATCTTGCCGCACGGTGTTTAGGGTTGATGCTTCCCCAAATATATGCCATCCGAATGGGGTTTATATTTTGTACCATAGCAATGTTGTTTTTTCTGGGTTAAACTATTGTTTTTCTGGGTAAATTTCGATGACGAGTCACTAGCAAATTCCGTCAGCCCCAGGCCAGTAGGTGGTGACCTGGCGAAAAGGCCAGGCTCGGCCTACCTGCCTAGAAGTGCTGGTTGCTTTGGGGGTGCGTAGTAGGGGCGCGAGTCACAAGGCCCCAACTCGGCCACGTTACTGCTACTCCGGGGCCCCTTTCTGGTCTTTTCCCATGTTTGTCGGCCGCATTCACAGGGCTGACGTTTTCACGTCAACTGGAACCGTGCGTCGGTAAATCAGCACGTTCACTTCTGGGTGTGCGAGCATTCTCATTGGTGCGCTGGTTGGGTCTATTCTTGATATAAGGTGTTTCATACCGTAAACATAAGTCAATTCCATTCTTGATACGAGGTGGCCCCGTAGGAATACGCTCTTATTGTTCAGTCTGGTGCAAGTTTGCCTTGTAATTTAGTGCGGTGGAAAAATGCCTATCTCCTGATACAGTAGGATTAGGATATACCGTATCTGTGAGGGATAAGGAAGGAGGGAGGAAGGGCATGGATGGACATTAAGCAGTGCAGTGCAGGGACTTGACAACACTCCATTTCCAAGTACCCTATGCAGGCAGGTAGGACAGGCACTCATGTACTCTGAATCCTGTATGATGGTACTACTAGGACCATGTAACATGTTCACTCCACACTCTCTCAACTGAAGTCTTTGAAGCATTCGCTGCAATAATCCTGTCCTGTACCAGTGGCCTTTTTTCCCCCTACCGATATGTATATTTTTAAAAGCTGTAACGCTTTTCAAAATTATGTATTTTGAAAGCGAAGCTGCTTGTAATGTAGGATTTGGCAGCGTCGAGCCGCGCTAAACGCCCGTTTTGGAGTACAAAACGTGGGCTGGAGGTCATTTCCCTCCACCCACGTCTCTCATTTTCAAACGGTTTAGCCGATTTTCCCGCCCCCCCCCCCCCCCCTCGGAAACAGGATAGCCGTAGGAACATAGAGGCATATCTTTGTAATATCACTATGGATTTCAATTGTACTAAACCCATTTGAAATGAGACGATGCCAATTGCTACATGCAAGAAAGCAAGCTTTCTAAATATCATGACAAACAACCTAGCAGGATCTGCCTGCCTGCCTGCCTGCCAAATCACCAGGTCATTCCATTCCAACGCAACTCAAACTCTGTTGTAAGGTACGGTACTGGTACGGCGGCAGAAGAAGCAGTTTCTCTGCAACATCCCATCCCATCCCAACCCAACCCAATCCACCGCATCCCATCCCATCCCACCGCATCACAGGTCCGTGGCGAGTGACCCCTTGGGCAGGCTTCCAAGCCACATGGGCGTCTCCGCAGCAGTCTTCCTGGACTGCCCAGACTCCGTCGTCATGAACCTCCCCAGCGCCGCCACCGCCTCCCATCCCATCCCACCGCTTCCCATCACAAGTCCATAGTAAGCGACCCCTTGTGCAGGATCCCTAGGCGCATGAGCGTCTCCGCAGCAGTCTTTCTAGACTGCCCAGACGCCGTCGTCATGAACCGCCCCAGCGCCGCCACCGCCGGTTGGGAGTACTTGGGCTTGCGGAACTTGCCAAACGTGAAGATCCTCTCGAGGATATACACGCCCACGCGCGTGAGCTCCTTCGACCGCCCCACCATCGTGGCCGCCACCTCCACCGCATCCCGCTTCACCAGAAACTCGGCCGCGCGCTCGTGGCATGCGTCGTCGGCTAAAAGGCTCGCGACGGCGGCGAGAGAGACCTCTGCGACGCTGGTGGTGGCGCGGCGGACGAGCTCTAGGAGCACGTCGATTAGGTTGTCGTCGAGAAGGCAGAAGGTGGTGGGGAGGGAGCACTTGCCGCCGTGAACCTTGCAGGAGCGGTAGAGCTGGGGGAGGCCGAGGAGGGACGGGAGACGGATGTTGCGTGAGAGAAGGCCACGGGTGGAGAGAGAAGAGGAGGAGGAGGAGTGGGGGTCGGTGGGAGGGAGCGGGCTTAGAAGCGCCGGTGCGTCGGCGGAATCTGGTGATTCTGTAAGGCTGAAGTCGGGAATGTGAGTGAGCGGGTGGGGTGGTTGGGAGTGGTGGCCGAAGTCGAGGGATGCATGGTGGAAGGAGGCGGAGAGGTTGGGACCCCCTGATGACAACAAGCTGCCGTTGCTGCTGGAGTCGCTGCTGCCTCGCATGTGCGAGCCGCTCCCAAACAGGTCAAACGCACTGCCGCTGTTGCTCTTCCTGTGCCTCGAGATGAGACCCCGCTTACCCCCACCACCCCCACCAGCAGCCACACCACCTGCCGCACTAGCCCCACCACCACCACCCCCACCATTTGCACCGCCCGCGCCCGTTCCACTAGAGCCCTGAAACCCTGCTCCCCCGGCCTTTGTGCCTCTCTGCTGTGCCGCCGCGGAGGTTGGGGAGGGGGACTGGCGGGGGGAGAGGGCAGTGTGGAAGGGGAAGAAGACGCGTGGGGAGAGCAGCGCTGCTGCGGAATGCTGACCCACTTGCAGGTTCAGCGTAGGCCCCCCTCTCCGCGCCCTCACCCCTTTCTCCCCACTCACGCCACTCACACCACCCACGCCACCGCTGTCGCTCGGAGCGTTGGGTGTGTTATCGGGTATCGAGCCTGCTCTTTTGCTGTCCGCGGCTTGCTGTGGTTCTGCAGGGTTTGGACTCTCATGCTCATCCAGGAAGTTCCAGGCTGTGTTTGAGCCTTCCGGATTCGCACCACTCGTGCACTGCTGCTGCTGCTGCTGCTGCTGAGCTTCTTTTTGTTGTTGCACATCACTGTTCTCAAGCTCTTGCCTCCAGCTAACCCCTTCCCCACCCACCCGTTTATCTCCTCCTCCTGCTGCTCCTGCTTCCTCTCGACCACCCTTTTCCCCTTCTCCCTGCCAGTTCACAGCTTTAATAGCAACAGCAGCAGCCGCTGCCCCCACTTGCGGATCACTACCAGCACAGCTAGGCACAGACTCCCTTGCAGCACCAGCCTCCCCTCTCAGGTTCCCCCTGGCAACACCCGTACCCACTCCCTTTTCCACTCCCACATCCTTCCCCTCCCTTCCACCCCAACCCCCACCCCCATCCCCACCTCCAGCATTAGCATCACCCACAGGCGATTCTGCTTCCTGCCATGAGCTCAGCGGCCCTGAGTAACAGTGCTGACTAGCCTGACCCCTCATCCCAGACCCTGCCAGTGCAGGCGCCACCAACCCCTGCCCAAAGCCCCCTCGAGCAGCAGCAGCAGCGGCAGCAGCAGCTCCAGCTCTTCCCACTCCTGCTGCTGCGTTACCAGCACCAACCCCATGCCCAAGCCCAGGCCCAGCAGCAGCACCAGCGGCAGCGGCGGCGGCAGCAGGGGAGGAGTGGGCGAGAGCGCGGAGGCGGGAGAGGCGTGGGGAGGAAAGAGAGAGGTTTTCCAGCAAGCGGGCAGCGGGGATACGGAGAGCGTCGGGCCCGACCCTCAGGTGATGAACGGCGAGAGGGAGGAAGCCCAGCCGTGCCACCTCTTGCTGCATTGCTGGGTCGTCGGGGTCGGCCAATGCCGCGACGCCACGTAGGACGGCTTCTTGCACGGCTATGGAGGAGGCGGGGCGGGCGGAGGAGGAGAGGAGGAGGAGTGAGTTGGCTTCGAGAATGGCGGGAGGGGGAGGGGGGCGCATTGCAGGGCGCACGGCAGGGCCGAAGGCAGAGAGAGAGGAGGCGGCGAGAGAGGAGGTGGAGAGAGAGGAGGTGGAGGATGCGGAGGAAGTGGAGGAGGAGGATGCATTAAAGGAAGAGGCTGTGCTGTTGATAGTGTGAAGGCCTGTGCTGCTGCTGTTATTGCTGCTGCTGCTGTTGCTGTCGTTGATGTTGCTGGCGTTGTCCTGAAGACTGAAGGTTCCAGAGGAGGGGGCACTGGAAGGCTTAGCCTTTGGCTTTGGTCTTGACACAGCACCAAAGATGTTCATTCCAGGCCGGATGCTGCTGTTGCTGTTGATGTTGCTCGCAGCTCCAGCAGTTCCTTTGTTGCTCCCCTGTTCCTCCTCATTGTCGTCCTCCTCCTCTTCCCCCTCGGAGTTATCTGGAAGGTAATCGGCCCATGACACTCCCCCCATGCCCATACCCCCGACACCAGCCGCACCGGCAGCACCACCAGCAGCAGCAGCAGCAGCACCAGCACCAGCACCAGCACCAGCACCAGCACCAGCACCAGCACCAGCACCAGCACCAGCACCAGAAGCAGCAGCAGCACCAGCACCAGCACCAGCACCAGCACCAGCACCAGCACCAGCACCAGCACCAGCACCAGCACCAGCACCAGCACCAGAAGCAGCAGCAGCACCAGAAGCAGCAGCAGCAGCAGCACCAGAAGCAGCAGCAGCAGCAGCCTGAGAAGCAGCAGCAGAGCCACCATCCGATCCCCCCTTGCCATCTCTACTGCCGCTGCCACTGCCACTGCCACCACCTGCACCACCACCACCCGCCCCTTTGCTTTTGTTCAGACCAAGACCGGATCGGCCTCCTTTCTTCACACCTCCACTCAGGAGGGACGACCCTAACAGAGACGACCCGCCACCACTACCCCCCTTCCTTCCCCCACCAAACACCCGCCCCACAAGCCGCCCCGTACCTGCCACTCCAGCAGCAGCAGCCCCGTCACCCGCTCCCACCTGCTGCTGCTGCTGCTGCTGCTGCTGCTGCTGCTGCTGCTGCTGCTGCTGCTGCTGCTGCTGCTGCTGCTGCTGCTGCTGCTGCTGCTGCTGCTGCTGAAGCAGCCCTGCTGCTCCTCCGCTTACTCCTCCACCTCCTCCCGCCGCTGCTGATTTCGCAGCAGCGGCAGCAGCAGCAATGGCTGCATCAGCCCCGGGAAGCAACCTTCTCATACACAGCAGCAAATGCCGCAGCTTCCGCACCCGCCATCTCATCCCCTTATCCGCAGCCATAGCCCCGAGAACCATCACCACAGCCTCATGCTCATCCTGCGGCAGTGCCAGCACCAGCAGCTGCCCTAGCAGCGGCACTGCCTCCGGTACAGACGCCATTGCCGCGGCCGCCATCGGCTCTTTCGCCAGGTGCTGCAGCAGCAACAGCGCGCTGGCTCTTAAAGCCCCCGCGGTGAAATGCGTGGAGCTCACAGCCCCGCCTGTAGCCCGCACGGCATCGCTCAGCGCGGACACTATCGCCCCCACCGCCCCTTCATCCTCCAACACAGTTGTTCTCATGTGCCGATTCTCCTCGTCTCGAGTGACAAACTCTAGAGTCTTCACCGCGTATTCTCGGCTCGTCGCAGGCCCGACACGGAGCATAGTAAGCAGCCGCACAACCGTCCCCTCCTCATCCAGAGTCTCTAAATCCTGGTCGTCCATGGCTAGGTTCGCGAGGGTGGCTTGGGCCGCGCCGCGCAGCTCGCCCGGCATGGTTCGGCCGAGGCAGCGGACGAGGGCGGGGATGACTCCAGCCTTGGCGAGGGCCACGCGGTTAGCTTCGGTGTGGGAGAGGTGCTCTATGGCTCGGGCGGCCATGGTGCGCGCGTTGGGTGGCGCGTGCGAAAGCATGTGGATGAGGGGTGGGAGGACGCCTGCTTGCACGAGCGCGATGCGGGAGACCTTGGTGATGCCGCAGGACATGACTGCATCGGCCATGAGCAGAACTGTGTCCATGTCGTTGCCTGGGAGGGGTGGGAAGGGGTGAGGGGAGGGGAGGAGAGGGAACGGGAGGGAAGGGCAATGAGCGATGAGGGAGACCTTGGTGATGCCGCAGGACATAACAGCGTCCGCCATCAAGAGAACCGTGTCCATGTCGTTGCCTGGGAGGGACGCGGGGGGTGGGGGTGGGGAGGAGGGGCGAAGAGAGGGGAGGGGAGTGGGAACGGGAGGCCTGGGTAATGTAATGCTGCAGGACATGAACGCGCTCGTCGTGTGCTGCAGACTCCTGTCCAAGTCGTTGCCCGGGATGGAAGTATGAGAGCAGCGGTGGTGAGGTGAGGATGACGAGGAAGAGATTAAGTCAACAACCCCTTGTAACGATGGGATAGGTTAGTGTCAAAGGAGCACGATGTATGTGCTATAGAGAGATAGAGAGAAGTGGTTGCTGGTTGGGGGTTGGTGAAAAGAAGAAAACGGTGCTCTGTATGGGTTCATGACCACACCTACCTACGCACGCACACCCACACCAAACACCACCATGGCCACCCACCGATTTCACCCTCCCCTCCGCAACGCACATGCACACAAACCGCGCACAGCCACGGGGCGGGGGACATGGTGACTTTTGAGACGGGGGACTCAAAAGTCCCCTCCGCAACACACATGCACACAAACCGCATACCGGGCGCAATGAGCGTGACGAGAGGGTCCATGAGGCATTTTGAGGCGCCTCAAAAAGTGCATTTTGAGGCGCCTCAAAACACACGAACCGCATACCGGGCGCAATGAGCGTGACGAGAGGGTCCATGAGGCCTGCTGCCGCCATGTGCACTGCCACTGACGGATCGCCCTCCCAGAACAGCCGCAGCACTGTGTCTAACAGCTCCGCCACCTGGAAGGGGCGTGGGGGGGAGGAAAGGGGTTGGCTGGTGGGAGAGCATGGGTGCGAGTGAGGTGGAAGGGAGAGGAGAAGGACAGACAGAGAGAGCACTCGCAGCGCCGGTTCCAACACCTCTGCTTCCTGGTACAGGGAGAGGGGTGGGTTGGGGAGGATAGTGGAATGGGGAGGGTGGGGTGGGGGAGAGAAGGTGAAGGAGAGATGAGGGGACGGACATAACAGCCACAGTACCGTGTCGAGTAGGCCGCCACCTGGTGCAAGGAGTGGGAGGGGGAGGGTGGGAGAGAGAGGGTGGGAGAGAGAGGGTGGGAGAGAGAGGGTGGGAGAGAGAGGGTGGGAGAGAGAGGGTGCGAGAGAGAGGGTGGGAGAGAGAGGGTGGGAGAGAGAGGGTGGGAGAGAGAGGGTGGGAGAGAGAGGGTGGGAGAGAGGGTGGGAGAGAGAGGGTGGGAGAGAGAGGGTGGGAGAGAGAGGGTGGGAGAGAGAGGGTGGGAGAGAGAGGGTGCGAGAGAGAGGGTGGGAGAGAGAGGGTGGGAGAGAGAGGGTGGGAGAGAGAGGGTGCGAGAGAGAGGGTGGGAGAGAGAGGGTGGGAGAGAGAGGGTGGGAGAGAGAGGGTGGGAGAGAGAGGGTGGGAGAGAGAGGGTGCAGCAGAGATGAGGGCAATGGATGGACAATGCAATCGTCATGCTATGCGGGTCTATTAGTAGTTTACACAACCCCCGATGCCAGTAGTTTGTGTTCTTGAGAATTCTCAGAAACGTGTTAGCAGCACGCACAAGCAAGCACCCACCTGACCTGGTCACCAGGACAGCCGCACGCATGTGCCTTGCATTCATCACAAACACGTGAGTGGTGTGAGTGAGTGAGCTCTCAAGCCTCAAGGTCAGCCTCGGCAGCAGGATACTTACACCTACCAGAGGCCCTTTCCCCTGCCCAATGCCCAGTGCCCACCCATGCATGCACCACCTGCCATCCGTCACTCACGCATGCACCCACCCGTTCATCCCACTCATCCACCAAACCACCCATCCGCTCCCACCCATCCATCCACCCAGCCACCCAGCCACCCCCACTTCTCACCCACTTGGTCGCTGGGCTCCTTGTGCTGGGAGCACAGGCCGATGAGCTCCAGGTCACCCTAGGCGGCAACAATCACCTACCAGAGACGCCTTTTCCTGCCCAACCATGCCATGCCAACACGCACCCATCTTCACCCATCTCCACTCCACGCCCGCCCACGCACCTGGTCGCCCTCCTCCTTGTGCCGGGAGCGCAGGTGGATGAGCTCGAGGTCGGCCTTGGCGGCAGCAATCACCCACCAGAGACGCCTTTCCCTGCCCAACCATCCACCCACACACCCCTCTCCACCCCTCTCCACCCACCCGTCACCCACCTGGTCGCCCGCCTCCTTGTGGCGGGAGCGCAGGCGGATGAGCTCGAGGTCCCCCTGGGCAGCGGAGATGGCGCGGCGGTGCGTCTCCCCCGTGGCGAGCTCATGCAGCACCTGCACGCCCGCCATCGCGTCTGCTGCATTCTCCGCCAGCACTGCCACTAGAGGAGCCAGCACCCCGTGCTCTATCAGCATGTCCTGGGGGGATGAGGGGGGTTGGGGTTTGAGGGTTGGGGTTTGGGGTTGTGGGTAAGGTAGGGAGGCGTGGGATGGGGGGACGGGGGAAGAAGAGGATGAGAATCAGGGGATGGGGGCGTGGGAATGGTGTGGGCGCGGGTTGAGTTGAGGAGACACGGGAAGGAGGGGAGGCGAGCGCGTGCAGGAGCTGCACGCCCGCTATGGCGTCTGCTGCATTCTCCGCCAGCACTGCCACCAGCGGGGGCAGCACCCCGTGCTCTATCAGCATGTCTTGGATACACACCTCTACATCCCCTCTCACCTGCACATCCCCTCTCTCCACTCACCTGTATATCTCCTCCCAGGCACGCCAGATTCCGCAGCGACAGGAGCACATGCTCGCGCACGTGCACCCGTTTCTCCGCTCCCAGCAGCGCAATCAGCAGCGGCACCCCGCCGCCCTCCACCAGCCTGAGCCCCAGCTGCTCGTCCCTCATTGTCAGCACCTCAACCGCCTCCACTGCTACCGCCACAGCCTCCCCCTCCGCCTCCCCCTCCCCCTCCCCCTCCCCCTCCCCCTCCGCCTCCGCCTCCGCCTCCGCCTCCGCCTCCCCGTCCCTCTCCGCCCCTGCCTCAGCCTCTCCTGTTTTGCCCTCCTTATGCCCCCCTTCCTCTTCTGCTTCTTCCACCCGCTCCTCCCCTCCCTTCCCCTCCCTGCCGTCCCTGCTTTCGCCCTCACTCTCGCCCGTGCTCTCGCCCTTGATTTCGCCCTTGCTGTCGTCTCTGCTCTCGCTCTTGCTCTCAGCAGCATCACTGGGTTGGCTCGTAGCTGAAGCAGCATCTGCCCCGGCCCCTGAAGCCGCCCTTTCCGCTTTGGCTTCTTCCCCTACAGTGACCTCCGCGGCCGCTGCTGCTTCTTCCCCTGCTGCTGCTTCTGTACCTGCACCTGCTGCTTCCTCCTCCCTTTCCTTTTCCCTGCCTGCTTCACTCTCCCCATCCACCTCCACTGCTGCTACAGATGCTGTAGCACCAGCACCAGCAACAGCAGCAGCAGCGGCACCAGCAGACTTGGCGCCAGCAGGGGGAGCACCACCAGCAGCCTTGGCAGCAGCAGCAGCAGCAGCAGCAGCAGCAGCGGCGGCGGCGGCAGCAGCATCAGTCGCGTCAACATGTCGCCTCATGACCTCAATAGCACGGTCGATCGTAGCAGCCTCCACTTTCTTCTGGTGCGCCTGAATATCCGCTCTCAGCCAATGCGCTGCTGCTAAGTCCCACCGCTGAATCTGCTTGTGAGACACAGGGCACTGAGCCACCGGCCCTGCTGCTGCCGCTGCCGCCGCTGCCGCCGCTCCACCAACGCTGCTATCCCCAGCCACCCCCGCTTCCCCCACCCCTGACGCTCCCACTCCTGCCACTGCTGCCGCTGCTGCCGCCACCGCTGCTGCTGCTGCCGCTGCTGCTCCTTTTGGTGCTCGTGACCCTGCTTTGGCGCTGTCTGGTGTTGTCACACTTCTGCTCCTCCCCGTGCTCCTCCCCGTGCTCCTCCCCATGCTCCTCCCCATGCTCCTCCCCATGCCCCTCCTCCAGTCCCCACTTCTCACTGACACTAGCCTTCGTTCCGCACCCCCCCCACCCCCACCTCCTCCTCCTGCTGCGGCTGATGCTGCTACATCCCCATCACCACCTGCACCCCCAACACCAGCAGCGGCAGCAGCAGCAGCGGAAGTTACTGCATCTTCCCCTCCTCCACCCCCTCCCGTCTCCTTCTCCCTCCCACCCCTGCTACTCAGCCCCTCTCTCCCGCCCCCAGTCGCCCGCACGCAGGCAATATACGCCTCGATCGCCACGCGCTCAAACACCACCCCACTCTCCACCAGCACCACCGGCTGCTGCAGCGGTAACCCTGTTAACGCGCAGCGCAGCTCCGGCTTCACTTCGCCAGCCATTTCGCGCTGCACCTGCAAGGCTAGCTTAGGCAGAACAGGCCCCTCGGGGGTTTCCACAGGGCGATCGCCAGGACCAGAGAAGGACTCATGGCCTGATGTAGACTTATTGCTCTGTCCACTGGTGTTGGCTGCTGCTCTGTGCGCTGCTTTCATGGACGCCCACTTCCTCATGCGCTGCCCTGCTGCCCTCCGCGCTGATACTGCTATTCCGCCGCTGCTGCTGCTGCTGCTAACACCGCCACCACCACCGCCGCCGCCGCCGCCGCCGCCGCCGCTCATGCCACCAGCACCACTAGCACTGTCGCTGCTGCTGCTGAAACTAACACTGGCAGCACTTGCCGAAGCAGCAGTAGCAGCAGTGGCAGCAGCAGCGTCAGGGGCACCCCAGGCACTATCTGTGTCTGCACCCGGCTCGCGAGGCGATGCCAGTCTGCTAGACGCACTCAAGCGAGCCTCCCTCACACTGGCTCCCAGGAAACGCTCCCTGCTGCTCATTCTCCCTCGCTCTCTGATGATGCCTGGGCCGGCACGAACGGCCGCAACAGCAGCTGATGTGGACGCAGGAGCGGTAGTGGGAGAGGCAGGAGTGGGAGAGGCAGGAGTGGGAGAGGGAGGTTCATGGCTGGTAGCCACGTGAGTGGCAGCATCATCTTGTTCTGCTGCTGCAGCAGCGATGGCGCCAGCAGCATCACTAGAAGTAGCAGCAGCAGCAGTGGCGGCGGCGGCGGCAGCTGCAGCGGCAGAAGCAGCAGCAGCAGCAGAAGCAGCAGCAGCAGGCGAAGGAGGTGGTTGATCTGTGAGAGAGGTGGACGGCCGAAGCGAGGGAGAGGGGGAGGGGGGAAGTCCGCCTGCAGCAGCAGCAGCGGAAAGGGCGTCTGCGGCAGAAGCAAAGGCAGCAGCAGCAGCAGAGCCGGAGCTAGAGCTGGGAGGAAAGGCAGCAGCAGGCACAACTGCTGCCGACGCTGATGCTGCTAGTGCTGGTGCTGTTTCTCCTCCTGCAGCAGATACCGTTTCCGTTGTGCTGTAACCACGAGGGAACCGCGTTATCCTACCTCCCTCCTCCGCCCCTGCGCCAGCATTCTCCCCTGCTTCCCCTCTACCTACTCCCTCCTCTTTCCCGCCTGCTTCCCCCCTTGCTCCGCCGCCCAGAAGCGCCGCCAGGCTTCTACTGTTAAAACTACCCCCACCACCCATCGCACTGCGCTCTGTGCCTGAACCAGCACCACCCGACGCAGCAGCCGCCGAAGCAGCAGCAGAACCAGAAACAGAAACGGCTCCCGGGAATTGAGAGTGCGAGGCTGGTGGAATCTCAACAACCCCTACATGCGCCTGCAAGATGGTTAAGAGGCACTCTAGCGCTCGTAACTTCTCCACGTCGCGGTTCCTCTCCTCCACCTCCTTGGCTAGAGCTAGGTCTAAATGCACCTCCTGGAGAAGAATCGCTACAGGCAATGCTAGAGCGGACCGCGCAGGGCCGTTCACTTCTTGATCCTGCCCCTGCTGCCCCTGCTGCTGCTGCTGCTGCTGCTGCTGCTGCTGATGCTGCTGCTGCTGCTGCTGCTGCTGCTGCTGCTGCTGCTGCTGCTGCTGCTGCTGCTGCTGCTGCTGCTGATGCTGGTGATGGAGGTGATGATGGTGGTGGTGGTGGTGGTGGTGTTGCTGGTGATGCGGGTAAGCGTGGGAGGATTTTCTCTTCTCTGCATCTCCCATATCCCCTTCCATGCCTCCTCCCCCGCTAACCCCCTCCGCTCCCTTTCCCCCGCCCCCTTCCCCGCCTACCTCGCTTAATCCTAAGTGTACGATCACCTTCGATAGAGCCACCTGCCCGTCGCTATAGGCGCGCGCGGCGGCGGCGGAAACGGATCCGCCCCTGGTGCTGACGAGTCCGCCCACGATCCCCGTGCTCATCACCGCGCGCTTCAGCAGCGCGCACAGCTGCGCCACCTCCGGTTCCGCCTCGAACGACGCGGCCTGCATGCGCGCGCGCAGCTCCGACAGCTTGGCGGCGTCCGCGGGCGCGAGGCAGGAGGACATGAGCGACAGCAGCGCGGGCTGGCTCAGCGCGTCCCCCACCGCGCGCACCATGCGCTGGAGCGCCGCCATGCGCGCCGCCGCGTCTAGTAGCAGCAGCAGCCGCGCAACGCGGCACGCCTCGCGCGTGGCGTCGCGCAGCGCCATGACCGTCGTCTGGAGCTCCTCAAGCGCCGCGCGCGCATCTGCGGGGAGAAGCGGCTGCTGCCGACCGCCGCTAGCGCCGGTCGCGCCGTCGCTTGCGGCGACCGATGCGGCGCTGGCGGCGCTATCCCTATCCGCGCCGCCGCCACCGGAGTCGGTGGCAGCGGCGGCGGAGGCGGACGGGGTGACGGGGGGGGCGGCGCTGGTAACTTCCGCCTCGCCGCCATCGGACGGTCCGGATATCGCCGGCCCGACATCCGACGATGTGACTGTATCGGAACCCGTGGACAAGTCGCGCCGCCATTCCGGCGACGGCGCCACGACCTCGCTCTCCTCGCTTATACTCCCTGCCCTTTTTCCCTTGCTCCGCGCGAACATGGACGCGGGGAGCGCAAAGCGGCTTCTCCGCGCGCCTTTCCGACTGCGCACATGCACCTCCGCATCACCTGCCAGCTGCTCTTGCTTGTTCTCCGTCGCTGCCCCCCCCGCCCCGCCCGAGTTCCCCCCGCTGCTGCTGCCGCTGCTTCCGCCGCTGCCTGCGCTCCCCCCGCTTCCGCCGCTGTTCCCCCCCGCGCTGCCACTTAACGACCTCCACCCGACGCTGATTCCGCGCAGGCTGGCGTGCGAGAGCGCGTCGCGCAAGTCGTTGAGGTAAAAAGCCATGGTGATGAAATTGGAACGGTCGACCGGTACGCGCGGGGCGACGCGACGGGTCTCGTCGATAATGCGAACCATGCCGTCGACGAGGCCTGCGAGGGATGATACCCGCTGCACGCGGGGGCGAAGCCGCTGCTGCCGCCCCATTGCGGCGTGCTGTAGAACGGCGGGTTGATGGCTTTTTTCTTATAACGTGTATGAAACGAACCAAGGTGGTGTGCTGGAGCTATATATCACGGAGTTGTTGAGATTTCTTTCTCAACAATCGACGTGAGTGCGAGTTGTTTAGGCGATACTTGGAGTGTTGTAGAAGAGAACACCACCATTACTTAAATAACCTCATTGTAGGACGACGGTAAGCGAGAATGGGAGAGAGGGAATCAGTGCGTGTCGAGAATTACGTGGGCAGCATGGGAGCACAATGGTGGGAGGAAACCCTAATTGGCTCCTCACTGTCATCCCCTTGCTGTCAGGCATCATTAATGAAGGAATGCGAGACGCAAGAGCAACGGCTGTTGGCCATTGTGGCACGGAGAGTGAAGAGGGGGCAAGGGCTAAGCTCGCGATAAGCCTCGCCTCGAGCCTTTAGTCGCAACGGCAGCGCTGTTACTAAGGCGGCCACGGAGGCATTCTGGTCATTGATTCTCCGCGGCTGAGCTACTTGCTCAAGAGACTCGACTCGACATGTACGTATCTGTCAGCTGTCTGCTGTTCTCCCCTCCTCTCGTCTCCTTCGATCTTCTGGACATCTGTGTTGTGCTCAACAGTGCAGCTGATTCTTCTGCAGGAGAGGACAACCTGAAAGCTGATTTTTGGATAACAAACGGGATGGGGGAAGAGTGAGGCCTGACCGTCAGTCTGTCAGTCAGTCACGTGATTCACATCATGTCACGTCCCGTTCCGTCACGTCAGGTTCGTCCCGTCCCAACACTCGGGCTTGAGTTGGGATCATCGCAGATCCGCGTGTCGAACGAAACTTGAAACTGTTCTGACAGCTGGTAACCAGTCGCACTCTACGCGGCAGGCGCTGCCACATGGCGAACAGTACACCAAATTCTGTGAAGTTCGCGTGTGGGGAGGATGGAATGGCATCGTTGCTTATAAAAGACACAATGCACTACAGTGCAATACCGCGTCTCTTTTCTGTGGTTGGGGTGAGTAGGGAAGTGGGTCATGCCAAGCACCAGCGAATGTATGAAAAGAAAACATGAGTGAACATTTGTTGAACCGTAAGTACCACCGACTCTGTTACTGCGCTGCGCCCCTCCCCACCCTACAGTCTCCCCCTGCGACTACATGGTCATGACCATGACACAGTGACGCTCGCCTGACGAATCCGATTGTGGATGTCCAACCAAATTGCTTGTCGTGAAGCGCTTCGAAGGAGCCATGTTCTGCCAAAGTGTTGAGGGAAAATATGTCAATGGTAACTTACATGGGGCACTATAACGCGTACGGTAACGATTTCAACGCGTTTGGTAACTCGCTTAAAGCCAGGATCTCAAGTAGTTCAATTGTTTTGCAGTTGGTGAGGGGAGCTGGGCTGCGATTGGTTAGCGAGGTGAACAATCTGACGAGGTGTGAAGCGAGGGGTGCGAAGTAAAGACAAATCGCAAGTTCAGTCCGAACCAAGCAAGGCTCGGAAACTGGTTCGGTGACGAAGCTCCAATGCCTGCAATTTCTCGTCACACACAACAATCTCATGTACCAGCAAAATGTTTTGCATTTGCTCTAGGGGCAAAATCGTGGGTGTGCCGCACGCTCACTTTCCTAACCAGCCAGTCAATTCGCCTACAAAAATAGGGTAACAAGCGCTGCAAGTGTTTTGCAATTGAAGGCCAATTCTCTTACTTGAGATCCTGGCTTTAACACGTTTGGTAACTCGCTAAACGCATTTGGTAACTCTACACTAGCAGCACATCACGCGAATGGTAACTAGATGAAATTCCCGCCGAAATGATCCTGACAAAAAAGAATTTATCGAGTTTGAAAGCATTTACGCACAGTATTATCATCCTCAACAAGTCCCGCCGCGAATTTGAAGGACCCCGTTTGTTCTATTACCACGGTCCGAAAAGTTTCAGAGCAGTTATATATATATATTTCGTACAAAAAAGGTTTAAATCATATTTTGGATAGCATGATTGCGAACTTGCGAAACGATAAAAAAAATATTCCCCGAAAGGACCTCGGGGCTTTTACTTTCTATAATTACTGCAACGTTGGAGAATTTTTGCATGTGGGAAAAATACACCTCTTTAAAATTGCATGTTTCATTTTTCAAATAAAGAACCATAAACGCCTTGTCGCAAGGAGTTAAGGGTTGTTGCTCTCAAAATTATTTGCCATCTAAAAGGGTATAGATTTGTTTGCCCCGGCTGTACGACAGAATAAAGTACAAACAGTTTGCGGATAGAGCGCCAGAATACCATTTGTGTGTGAACAATTGTTTTCACAAAGCTTATGTTTTTGCAATTAGCTTGAAAATCGGAAAGTGTGTCAGGATTTCGGAAAGTGTGTCAGAATTTCGAAAAGCTGTGTCAAAATTTTGGAGAGTGTGTCAGAGGTTTCTGCTTCAGGATTCGTCAATTTATTCTGACGCGAGTGGGAAAACCAGAATCAGGCTCAATTTCGGCGGGAATTTCATGTAGTTACCATTCGCGTGATGGGCTGCTACCAAATACGTTAAGCGAGTTACCAAACGTGTTAAGCGAGTTACCAAACGCGTTAAGCGAGTTACCAAACGCGTTGAAATCGTTATCGTATGCGTTATAGTGCCCCATGTAAGTTACCATTGACATATTTTCCCAAGTGTTGACAGCTGTTACGACAGTAAAGTTGCACTACTACACCCTGCTCTTTGATGTTTTGGCAGTTACATTTTGCTACGTAGATACGAGGGATTACAGAATTAACCCGTCGATCACTAACCTGCTGGCACAAGCCTTTTTCTATTAATGTTAAGAGTTTCATGATTTGTCAGAACATTATAGCTCATGCATACTGTGTAGGCTATAGTGGGGTAGCCCATAAGGGGTACAACCCAATTAGGGTTATTACTTGTACCAAATTCATTCATAGTTCATTCATTCCTTGTTTCTTCTCATGGTATCGAGCAGGTTCCCCCGTGGGAACTGTTCCTAGGGCCCACCGTTTTTTTTTCCTGCCCGGAGCGCACTCAGCCCCTGCCCGAGTCGCGCTCCCCTCTCTCGCGCCGCCCTAGCGGCCCCTTCGCGCCGCCCTCGCGGCCCCCCTTCGAGCCGCCCTCGCGGCTCTATCCGCCGCCCTTCGCGGCCCCTACTCCGCCGCCCTCACGGCCCCGATCCGCCGCCCTCGCGGCCCCGATCCGCCGCCCTCGCGGCCCCGCTCTGCCGCCCTCGCGGCCCCGATCCGCCGCCCTTCGCGGCCCCGATCCGCCGCCCTCGCGGCCCCGCTCCGCCGCCCTCGCGGCCCCGATCCGCCGCCCTTCGCGGCCCCGATCCGCCGCCCTCGCGGCCCCTACTCCGCCGCCCTCGCGGCCCCGATTCGCCGCCCTCGCGGCCCCGATCTGCCGCCCTCGCGGCCCCTACTCCGCCGCCCTCGCGGCCCCGATCCGCCGCCCTCGCGGCCCCGATCCGCCGCCCTAGCGGCCTCCGGCCCCTGCTCCTACGGCCCCGGCGCCTGCTCCTACGGCCCCCGCTCCTACTCCTACGAGCAGCCCACCCGCCGAGCCGCCCAGCAACCGAGCAGCCCAGCCGCTGAGCCGCCCAGCAACCGAGCCGCCCAGCCGCCGAGCCGCCCAGCAGCCGAGCCGCCCAGCCGCCGAGCCGCCCAGCAGCCGAGCCGCCCAGCCGCCGAGCCGCCCAGCCGCCGAGCCGCCCAGCAGCCGAGCCGCCCAGCAGCCGAGCCGCCGAGCCGCCCAGCAGCCGAGCCGCCCAGCCGTCGAGTCGCCGAGCCGCCATGCAGCCGAGCCGCCCGAACCGCCCTGTCCGGTAAGAGCAGCGCCTCTCTCACAGCACTGCCCTCACCCTACTGTTTGCACTGCTAGTCTACTGCTGTCATGGCTACCCCTAGTGTCCTAGCTTTTGACGCTGAGGGTCGGGCCATTGACTTTGACGTCTGGATAGATGACCTGCAGCTTTTCTTACAGTGCGACAGAGCAGACGGCCTCTCCCTCTTTGACCTCACTTCTGGTGCCTCTCCTGCCCCCGCTGCTGATGCTGACGCCACTGTTTGCTCACAGTGGGCCACGCGCGATGCTGCTGCACGTCTTGCTGTGCGTCGCCACCTACCTACCTCTGAGCGTGCGCACTTTAGCCAGTACAAGAGTGCTCAGACCTTGTACGACGCTGTAGTTGCACGCTACTCCTCCCCTGCCACTGCTGCACTGAGCCGCCTCATGCTACCGTACCTCTTCCCTGACCTTGCTGCCTTTCCCACAGTCGCTGACCTCATTACGCACCTCCGCACTAGTGACACTCGCTACCGCGCTGCGCTTCCTGCTGAGTTCTGCGCCAAGAACCCCCCCCCCCATGTACATCACCCTCTACTACATAGTCACCCGTCTCCCTGACTCCCTTCGCGTAGTCAGGGACCACTTCCTCTCGGTTTGTCCCACCACTCTCACCGTTGACCTCCTCGAGAAGGCCCTCCTAGCAGCAGAAAAGAGCATAGTCGCTGTAGGAGCCTCTCGTGGTGACCCTCGCACCCCCATCTTTGAGGGGTGTTCCCCCTCCCCTCTT